CCATTTGACGCTCATGCCTCTCCGAGCTGAAGACGAGCGGTTCTACGCGTTGGTGTTGGCGCGTTACGAGAGGATGACTCAAGATAGACGTCGTAGACGTGCCGATTCACAACGACGTTATCGTTTGAACCTCCAAGAGCGCATCTCGATTGATGCTAACCGTGCTGCGCGGTTTGTGTCACCTGCAATCAATCGACGTATTAGTGGTTAGAGCCTCACGTAACTTCATGAATCATGGTGGTGAACTTGTACTTTACTTCCAAAGTTGTTTTGTGTTGTAGGTGGTAAATCGTCAGTGATTGCAGTTTTGTTCAGTAGCCTGGTCACTTCCAATTTTCACCCAAAATTATGAAAAGAGAAATGACAAATTTCCTGCATAGTCAATTCTTGAACTGACGTCAACTCATCACATACAGAGGAATATTAGCAGCATCTTTGATGTATTGTATTTTGATCAGTGAAAATGTATAACAGTAACCTGCTGAAATAAAGATCTATTTTTGTGACGATGTGGTTGCCTGTGCAGCAACAATGAATGTCATCCTGGAAAAGATTCCGCCAACATTTACCTGGATGTGCCAACCAGCGGATGTTGCGTGGATGAATCCAATGAGGACTGCAATGCGCGAGCGCTGGGTCACTTGTTTGCGGCATGAAATCGAAAACTACAAAAATGACGAAGGCACCATTCAACCGCGCCCGCCGTCACGATTCGACTTGGTTGAGTGGGTAAACGAAGTATGGGAGGCCCTTCCGAAGGCTACAATCGTCTGTGGGTTTGTCAAATGCAACTTGATCGATGTCGAGAAGAACGTACCCAGCGAAGCAGTTCAAAGCGCCAACGACAACCGCCAAGCAACCTATGACATTGCCTCGCTCCTGCAACAATTGGACACCCATGATGTTCGCTATGATGAAGTCGTTGATACCTTCGACGACTCAATATTGGCACCGACTATGAATAGGTGCCTAGACACCACATTAGTGAACGAGTTTGAGAGTGAGATATGTGATGCATCTAACCTGTTGCTTGTCATCAACTTTGCTTTCCCCATATTCACATTCTCACGCGCGACGCCTTGCACACCCATGGAGAGACACGAGTGCCGGTATCCGGTGCAGCAAATCAGTGGGCGAGGTCGAGGCGGTCCCATGACTACTGCGCGCGGCCCTTTTGAAACTGCACCCCACAGGGCACGACGACGGCAGAGCCCATGAACTTGAGGCAGTGGTGTTGCTGTCGTCCGAACAAGTTATCCGGATAATATCCGGATGATCTTGACGAGGCAAATTGAAGAGTGAGCTAAGAAATTTCTATCGTTTGATGTGTGTGAAATGACGTATGATCCCAGTTCATCTTTAAAGCTTGATTTCCTCTTAAAAATAATTATCTGTGTCAAAATATTTGCCTTGGTTAACATCCAAAGGAGTGCGTACTTCAGAAATACTGTTCAAAATAATGACCTTTCTGTTTAGAGAATTCTGCATTTTGCCATTGTATAAATCTATGGAGGTTTCTCGTCAATGGGGTCACATGCCTCGTCACATTTATTCACACACGGCAAATGAGGTAAAGTAGGTACCTCTGGTTGAACCATTGGCGTGATCGGAGGAGATACGGAGATAAGTTTCCCGAGGCTCAGTTGAATACTGCTGGCATCATGGATAATTGTCCTCCTTCGGCTCCGCTGTGGCGGGTTACGGCTATGTGCTTGTACACCTGGCCTGTTGGAGTCTTTCCGCCAACAATTCGATGACTCGCGGAAATTCGTACCTGTCACCCGTGTTGAAGTTGGATGAATATTGGGAAATTTGGTGTATTGCAAATATACTTCATCGAATGTTTATACTCAAGGCCACGGGACCGCCCCAACGAGTAAAACCGAGAATACATATATGGATTTTCTGGTTTACTTTTTGGGGCGGTCGCGAGGCGAATTCGACAAAAACTATTTTTTACTACGTAGTACACGGCAAGTTGCCACAGTACATTGAAGTTGTTTCGGGTTTTGGGTGGCGTACAGGGTGCG